GCTGGAAGGAAGTCATTTGTGGAGCAGGATAATGTGTGGCTTAAGAGCTGGGGCTGAAATTCTCTCCACCTGCTTCGAGCATTTCAGGAGAGATTTGTTTTCAACTCCCAATTACCTTCCAGAATCGAGTTCCTATCTCCACTGCCTGTTTGCTTTCATTTCCGATAAGGACAGGGAAAGGAACAGGAGGCCCAAGACTAACATTCTCACACTCCCTGAAACAAAAATTTCACACAGTGAATGACTTGCTTTGGTTTTCCAAGAAGCAAACAGTCTCCGCCCTGGGGAGGCGTGGCTGGATCTGCAGAGGCAAAGGCAGCTGGGGTCTCTCAGAAAGCCCAGGCGAACAACCAAACTCACCCCGTCTAATGAAACTTTCAAAATCTCCCCTTTCAAACTAGGGCTTTCTCAAGTAATACAACTCCGGGCTTCTAGCTGTTCAGATCAAAACCGTGGAGCCATCCTCGAAATCTGTCCTTTCCACTCACGCCCACTTCCAAGCTGCCGTTAAGTCCAGTTGGCTCCATTGTCAAAACAAAGCCGGAATCCAACCAGTCCTCCCAGTCTCTGCCACGTCCTGGTCTCAGCCACCTGCATCTCTTCCCCAACTGACTGCTACAGAAACTTCCTAACACCCTCCCAACCCTCCCAGTTGCTCTAAAATGTATTTTCAGCTTAACAGACTACTTCCGGTGTCTCTCAAACCCACCCACACAGACTCAGAAAGCTCCCATTGCATTCAGAGTAAAAGCCACTACCTCAGCCACCAAGACGCAAAATCATTTGCCTCTGTCAATACTCAGACCCCTCCTCCTTCTGCCTCAGGCATCCCACTCTTTGCCCATTAGTGACCCAACTCTTGGAGACCATGACTGTCCGAGGAGCCTGACCTGAGAAGGAGTAAATGATGCCATCCCCACTATTGCCATGCAACAAAGCAGCAGCAGCAGTAGCAGCAACAAGACAGTAGGGTAGGACAAGAATTAAAACTCCCAAGGGGAGATCCAGGTAGCTCACTCTGATCACTCAGTGCTTAGTACTCTGCATGCATGGTGGCTGCAGAAATTTCAGTTTGAATCAATCCTGGCACTGAGGGAACAATGGCAGAGTAAGGGAATTTGCCTTCTTTGGGGCTGGAGAGATTCCTCAGCAGTTACGAACACATTACTGCCAATACGAAGGATCTGGCTTCAGTTTATAGTAGCCACATCTGGTGGCTCACAACTACCTGTAACTCAATTTCCAGGGGTTCTGATGCCCTCTTCTGGCCTCAGTAGGTACCTGCACACATATGGTACACATAAAATTCACACGAGGACACACATATACATAAACTTAAAAAAATAAAAATTTGGAGACTCACAAAGGTGTCTTCGATAGCATGCTGTTGAGTCAGACATTAAGGAAATTTGCAACACACACACACACACACACAATTTTGTCACTCTTCTCCCCAAGTTTTGTTTTGTTTTCAAAAGTGTAAGCAGTTGTTTTTACAATGAAAGGTTATTTTTAATTCAAAAGAAGCAGGGCCCAAGCTGAGTGGCCTAGCTCGTGCAGGGAGAGTGAATGAGAAGTTTTGCCTAAACGATGGCATCGTTATCAACAATGGGAGATTAATAAAGAAGTAGGGAAATAGCAAAGATTTTAAAGATGCAGGCCGGTTTCTTCAGAAGAGCACTCTCAAACAATTGCATTGTGCTCTTGAGTTTTATTGAAGATTCCAAAGAGTCTTTGTTTATGTAGATTGTATCTATTGGTAAATCCTGGAGTGACAGTCTCCTGAGTCTCATCAACTAGAACTCATGCTAGTGTATGCTTGCCCAGGGCCAGCCCTTGTCACAAGAAAACAGTAACTTCAGAGGGAGGGTCATAAAAGGGCCCACAGGTCCCTAACTGGTCTCTTCTGTCACTCTGAAGAAGACCAGTCACTTGTGATTTGGGTCCACTGGAAATACTCATGGAGAAAAAGCAGGACCTGCCTCCCACCAACAGCCAGCCACTGTCCCAGGCTGCAGAGAGTTAGCCATTTCAGGACACATGTGCAGCATTCAAATAGCTCCAACCTCGAGAGACCCTGACCCACCCAGGGCACACCTGAGTCTCAGAAACCAAGTGAAACAACCAAGGAGTCATGTCGCTTTACTCTAACGGGCTGAGGGTGCCTCATTCTGCAGCAATAAATAATTAAATGGTTTTTATTACATTATGAATTAAAACAGAAAACAATGTCAATGAGTTATTATATTGAAATAAACTATATTTATTCATTTAGATGGGTAAATTTTAATATTTAGTCATTTGTTAGCATTAATTCATTTAAAAATTTAAATAAACCTTTCATTATAAAAACAACTGCTTACCAAAACAAAACAAAGCGTGGTGAGAAGGGTGACGGCAGTGTATGGGTTTTTTGCAAATCTCTTTAATGTCTGGCTTAATAGAAAACAGCTGGGTCTGAGTATCTACTTCTGCAGTCAATCAGTGGTCCTGATGCTGTTTTGTTTGCAGCATGTGAAGGAAGCACAGCCTCTCTCCACAGACACATTGTTGGAAAACAGAGGAATACTTTAATGGCCTTTTCTGATAATTACAGATCTTCTCTGACGTGATTCTGTAGTCAACTAATAGCAGTTTACTGAAGGTTATTTGCCACGTGGAATGTGAAACCAAATCAGTGAACTCTGTGTTCTTGAGTACATTAAAATCACTAGGTCCGGCTTGTACTTGGACTAGGTCTTTGGGGGTGTGCATGGCAATGCTATGCATGGGTCATTCGGAAAACATTGTTTCATTAAACTGTGCAGAGCTTCGAGTTTGATAGATTCAGTGATGAAAACGAAAACTTTGAGTTTCTTAAGAGCACCATTGATTTAATCAGAAACATCTGTAAGAGTGGAGGAGGTGTCAAGATCACGGTGGCAGACGTTTTCAAAACTTCTAAGTTTTACTCAAAGCCTCTATTTTGGCCACCCGATATTGTCAGTTATCTTTGTATGGCAATCTCATGTTGGTTTGTTTGTTTGCTTGGTTTTGTTTTTCAGAAAATGCCCGCCATATCACCTTCTCTGAATACCCATGCTCATCTGGACTTTTGCATTCTGTGAAAGTGGCTCTCTCCATTCACAACAGCCCCAGGTACTTCTCAAGACAAGCAGCTCACAGGGAGGTGTGCTAGCAGGGCCCCATGTGCTCACAGGGAGG